GGCACTCTTGCTGGTGAGTAGGAGGAAGCATGATTACAATATTTCACCTTCTTTACCAAATTGTAAAATTCTTCCGTTCACAAATGTGTCTCCATAAGTTTTATCCTCATTTCTAAGTGCTATACTTAAAAAATACAGAATTCAAATAGAATATGTAGTTTAGCATGCCTACTGGAAAACGTCTAAAACAAACGTCTGTCATTTTTAAAATGATTCTAAATCATTTTAAATCATCATCATCATTTTAATCATCATCACAATAAAAAAAAATTTTCGACTATATGATTACTTTGTACACTTTCATATTTCATTTGGTTCAGTTTTTTAGGGGTTTTTTTTCAACTTTTAATAAAAAATGTTTAAGTATTTTGATAAATATTTTAAAATTTCAAGATTAAATACTTTTGAAGTGTTTTTCATTATTAATTGGTTTTATATGAAAAATTCATTGTCAGTTACAGCAAACTATAATAAATATTTTAAACCCTGTGCTTAAAATGAGTTTTCAAAGTTTAATCCCTTTGCTTAAAAATTACGGGACCGTAAACCTCAGACAGTTATGCATAATTAAATTTTTAACTTAATATTGAAAGTAATTTGTTTAATTTGCTTCATAATCTAAATTCTGCAGCAGACATGAAGGTACTCAAATATCTCTACTATTATAAATTTTATGTAAAATTATGACTTTAACTATACTATAAAACACGCCTTCATCTTTTAAAACTTATATAAAAAAAAACCTTAAGTTACAATTATAATTCTTTGGTTTCAATCAAAATATTCAATTTTCCCGAGGCTTTAAAACATCTTTTTTTTTAATTAAAAATTATTCGAAAACTTTGCTGGTTTTTGTTAAATTTCTTTAATTCAATACTTTATTTAAAGCATTACATTTAATTCTGAATTTTCTTTTAAGTTTATAAATAAACTTTAAAATAAAAAAATAAGCTTTAAATATTTGACAAAAGTCTAAAAGCTTTTTATCAAATATTTAAAAGCGTAATCAACATTAAGATTCACACATTTAATAAGATATATTAATATTCACACATTAAAAATATATTGAATAAGTAATATGTAGAGCCGAAGTATATTAATTCAATATTCATACATATGTATAAATAAATAGTCAAATATTAGAAACCGTTTTACGTACGGCTCGACAATAAAGCATTGGCAAATATATATATATATTTTAAATTTCATAGTTCAGTTGAATAGAAAACTAACGCAACATTTGTTAACTTTTAATTTTTTAAAGGAAAATTCGATTATGTATATCAAAATGTGAGTAAATTTTTGACTTGATAAAAATCTCTTTTACACTCATGTCCGTAAATTAAGGATAATTCAGAATCACACAGAAATTGAACTCTAAAATAAAAATTTCACCTGTAGAATTATCACACACATCTTGAAGAAGAATATGCATATTACAGGAAACCACCAGATGGCGCGGATAGTACGTCACAATGACGAGATTGTAAGAGAGGGGTTATCAGGAATGGTGGCAAAGAAGTAAAATTGTTCACAAGCGCTTTAAAAGCCTTTCAGTGCAATAACCGCATAGTTATGGCACAAAGGAAGCATTTGGATGATTTTTTACGTGGTAGAATTATCGGACGACTGGAATTGGGACGTACCCAGCTGGAAGTATCCGAGGAACTTGGAATCGCCCAGAGTGTCATCTCCAGGCTTTGGCAACGATTCCAAGATGATGGTAATGTGAGTAGATGTTACAGCACAGGTCGCCCCCGAGTTACAACGCCGAATGAGGACCGGTATTTAGCAGTTACTGCCAAAAGAAACAGACGGAGCACAGCATCAGACCTGTCTCGTCAGCTCTCTTCAGCTACCGGTACGACAGTTTCAAGGCCTGTAGATGTGTTCCACTTACCGCAACTCACTGTCGCCTGCGATTAACCTGGAGTAGAGAGCATGCATTGTGGACACCGCAACACTGGTCTTGTGTGATGTTTTCCGACGAGTACAGGTTTAGTTTGCAGTCTGATTCTCGCCGGACTTTCATACGGAGGGCGCCAGGTACCCGTTACCACCAAGAGAACACCATCGAACGACACCGTTACGGTGGTGCAGGATGGCTCGTTTGGGGAGGAATTATTCTTGGTTCCAGAATTGACCTGAATGTTCAGAGTGTAACGATGACAGGCCACATCTATCGGGATGTCATTCTGGAACAACATGCACGTTTGTTTCGGGGCGCCATGAGTGCTGAATTTCTGTTTATGGATGACAACGCCCGTGCTCACCGTGCAAACATTGTAGTCGAATGCCTTCAATTGGAGGATATCACCCGTATGGATTGGCGAGCATACTCACCGGACTTGAATCCAATAGAGCATGTGTGGGATATGCTTTGCCGACGAATTGCAGCCCGTCAACCTCCTCCCACCTGTCAACTGGAACTTCGGAGGGCATTGCTTGATGAGTGGTGTAATATTCCCCAAGATCAGATTGATAATTAGATACTCAGCATGCCTAGGTGTTGTAAGGCCTGTATTGCATCGTCCGGGAGACATACTCCATATTAACCATTATACTAACCATGTTATACTGTTTTTTGTAAATAAGTTCTTTTTTGAAATTTGCTCCAGGGAGTAAAAATCGCAATTTTTAATAATTATGTCTCACATATAGCAGCTTTTTTGCTCTTTACCTTTTGTTTAATAAATAGACTTTACAAATAAGTCAAATTTGTTTTGCTTCTGTCTCTTTCTTTGCCTGAACTTCAATATCCTTAATTTAGGGATATGAGTGTATAAAATATATATAAATAAACCTATATAACTTTTAATAACCTATAAACCTATATAACTTTAGTTTTTAGTAACAATTATAAGACAAATTTAAAATATTTGATATCTTTTATTGAAGCAACGATGATATTTAAAATGCGATATGGAATATTGAACAGTTAGGAATCATTCAATTCTTCTTTTTCAATGGTGCAACAGCCCCATTGTGGGCCGGGTTGCCAGCCTACGCCCAACGCTCTACAATAATATTAGACCGGGAGCTACGGTTTAAGGATGATTTTGAGCCACTACAAGCATCCGGGACACTACACAACTGGGATTCGAACGCGAAACCTGTGGCACCAAGTGCCAGACACTCGGCCGTCAAGTTCCAGGAATCATTCATTAGAAATACAAAAGAAACAGAATCATTCAATAAAACTTAAATAACTTAACGTTATAGGATACTTCTTTGTTTTTTATTCTTATAACGACCAACAGAACGTTAGTCCAGGAAACAAAGTATTCTTTTTTTTGTCGCATCCCATGCATATTGCAAGAGACCCTACACAAAATTTTGATCTCCCGTGTACATTAAAATAATTGAAATATATATTTTTTTTTCGTTAAAAATCTATCCAGTACATTTTTTAAGTAGTTTTATTATTGAAAACCATACGTAAAAGTTACCCATTAAAAGAAAATTTCGTGGTATATATGAATTCAGAAGGCAACGCAATCGAAATGTTTCTTAAGCATTTCTCTATAAAGTTATTTTATATAATTTTTTTAAATATTTTTATATATTGTTTTTTTTACATTTATATTACATTTTTATACATATTACATTTACAAAAATATATTACATTTTTAAATATATATTTTATATATTTATATATTTATATTATAAATTTTTATAATTTTTTATATACTTATAATTACATTTTATATTTTTTTCTTCAAAAATCTACCCAGTTTTTTTTAAATAGTTTTATTATTGAAAAACATACGTAAACGTTACCTATTAAAAGAAAGTTTAGTGGTATAATGTACGTTCAGAAGGCAGCATACTCAAATGTTTCGTAAGTATTTCTCTTTATTGTTATTTTATATATCTTTTTTTTTATATTTCTATACATTATTTTTTTACATTTTTAAATATATATTTTATATTTTTATATATTGTTTCTTACATTTTTCATTTTTAAATATATATTTTTTTTCTTTAAAAATTTACCAAGTTTTTTTAAATAGTTTTATTATTGAAACAATACGCAAACGTTACCTATTAAAAGAAAGTTTTGTTGTATATTGTGTATTCAGAAGGTAACCCATTCAATATGTTTTTGAAGTATTTCTCTTTTAATATCTAATTTTAAATCTTTATGTATGTTTTATTTTAACTTTTAAATACATATTTTATATTTTTATGCATTGCTTTTTTATATTCTATATATTGTTTTTTTTTATATTTTTATATATTAATTTTTATGATTTATAAATTACATTTAGTAGAATATATTCTTTCATTTATTACTTTTTATTATTTTTTTTATTTTATTTATTTCATTACTTTTATACACATCTACATTTAGTAAAAAAAACATTGTTATGCTCTGCAGTAGAATTCTGAAATAATATTTCATAAAAAAATCATTAAAACATTAATCGTACACGTGGCATATCTGTACCTTTAGATTAGATAACCTACATTTTTTTCCTCTTAAAAAAATACTTCGTGCCCTAAAAGAATCATAAATCATAAAATTACCTTTTGCAAAAAAATCTACAACATGGTTCTTATATTTAGGTAATATATATATATATATATATATATATCTTCCCACAAGAGAGTTAGTTCAACAGTTTTGGATCTAATAGAGAGAGAGATCATTTGGAGAAAACCAAACACAAAAATGCACCCAAAGAATTTTCTTCCAATAGTGAAATTTAGAGGAGAGTTGTTGTTTGTTATCCCACTTGGCTGGCCAAGCCCACGAGCCCATACGTACTCATGATTGAAGGGGAAGGAAGCAGCTTCTGTTGTGATGGAGCACCCGTAGGTAGAAGTCTGACTTTGGCTCCGTGACGCTCTTACAGTCATAGGAGACCGGGAGCTACGGCTGAAAGTGGATTCCGAACCACTACAAACATCCATGGCACCGCCGGGATTCGAACCCGAAACCTGTGACACCGAGCGCTAGAACACTCGGCCATTCAGGTCCCAAATTTGTGAATGCCAACGGCATGCGGTGTTCCCAGGTGGTCACCCACCCAAGTACTGACCGCACCCAATGATGCTTCGGAGATCTAACGAGAACCGGTATATTCAGCATGGTATGGCCGTTGGCTTTAGAGGAGAGTACTTGTTGGTATCGTATGAGTGCCACTGATGTTGGAAATTTAGTCATTATTGATGGGTTTGCCATTCAACAGGTAATTTTTATACACACTTTGGGTTAAACAGACCGGGACCTACATTTTAACATGGATTCCGAACCACTAACAAACATCTATGCCACTGCCAAGATTCAAACTTGAAGCATGTGATACAAAAGACCAAGGTGCTAGTTAACTAGCTATCCTGCCGCCATTATTGATGAGATCATGAATCATAATATGCACATTGATATACCAAAGAATAATTTACTATCTAGGGCTGTAAGAAACGGTATTCAGTATGGATTATGTTTTTCTACAGGATGTGATCCTATGCATCAGGGGTGGTCAACCCGCGGCCCGCCTTGAATATTTTTCCATCCCGTGGGATTTATCACATTTTACAAAATATATTTATTTTATAATGATCAAAGTAGTGAAAACTAAAGCTTTAAAAAATATATTGTGTGTGCATCCATATATTCAAAAAATTACTGTCGAAATTATGAGAAAAATTAACTTTGATTTTAAAATAATATTCTTGCGAATATATGACAGATATTGCTTGTTCGCAGTTATGAGTTCGCTGAATAGCCCAAATTGACCAAACACGAAACAGCTCAAACATAAACGACGCAAACCTGCAACACCCATTACGACGTGCTAATACCGAAATTGAGATCGATTTGGAAAAGCTAAGTGAAAGAGTGCAGAAACAAATATCGCACTCGTAAAACAAATATTTTTTAATGATTTCATTTTTTTTTTTATTTCATTTATATTTCTATATTTTTTGTATTTCCTTTTTAGTGTTATATATTTCTTTACAATGTGCATTTAGTAATTATTATTATATTATCCCTGTTTACATGTAAGAATAATAATAAGCACAATAACGATAACTCATTGTCTCAATTTTTCACTCCAAAAATGTCTATAGTGGATCTAAATCTAATATGACGATATATAATTTTATTTGCGGCCCGCAGAGTTATGATGCATATCCAGAGTGGCCCGCAAGCTCATTTGGGTTGGCCATCCTTGCTATACAGACAATGTTAAGCATTTGTCATTGGTCATTATAAAACTTGCCAAATGTTTTTCAATTTCATGCACAAATTCAACCACATTGAGCCTTAGTATAATGGTTTAGATAACAGAGTAAAATTAAGACTCCTTTCAAACAAAGGTGATACCTAAAAATTGGACTTCAAGAAGAATGGAAACTTCTTTCAAATTCAATTACTTCAAAAACTAGTCGAATTCATGCTACGAATAAAAATAAGCAAGCAATTGTAAAAGTCAAAACAGTTTCAATTGAGTAACAATTGTAAATTATTTAGAACAGATTTTTCGTATATTTATTTATTTTTATTTTAGCTTTATTATAAATTTATTTCGACTTTATGAATATTTTCGACCTGTTAGATAAATAGCTATTTTGATTTTTTCTAAAGTTGTGAACGATTCGTTGTTTGAATTAAAATAAAATGCAAAATACCAAATACACTTTTGTTTGTATAGCAGTTAATTTTGTTTAAAATTTTTACTTGAAGGATAAAAATTTCAAACATTTTGTTAGCACAAATAGTTTTTTCATTCCCTGTTTAAATTTATAAGAATAACTTTAAGTATGATTTTTTTTAGATTAGTCCTGTTGCTATAAAAAGCTTGAAACCTATCATTATAAAATTCCATTATTTTAACAGTCTCGGGCTATAATTTTCAAGATTTCAAAACTATAATTTGCAAGATTTCAAGGCTATAATTTGCAAGTTTTTCTAAATTATTTTATTATACCCTAAAACCTTCTGCTCATGGAAAGGTTTATATCATTCTTTAATTATAGAGGACGAATCAAAAACACTCTTAAAAACGATAAACGAAAACAATACCGAAGTAGTTAAACTGATAATATGAGATGAAGGTGATGTTTTTGCACTGCTAGAGACTGCTGATGAGACACTTTTCGTGATATTTTTCTTTTTTTCATGATAATTTTATTGTTTAAGAATCGTTAAAGCAAAACACCTTACTTTAGTATGAACTTCCTTTACAATCTATAACGAATAGTATGAGAAATCTTATTAACCTGGCTTTCAAAATATAGAAGTTTCAACAAATTAAATTAACTCTGTTAGCTGGAAAGGAGAGGAATTAAAAACACTTAAAATTGATAAACGAAAAAAAATACTTAAGTAGTTAAACTGATAATATGAGAATGAGGAAATGTTTTCGCATGAGATATTTTTCGTGATACTATTGTGTCCAAAAAGTAAGACCAATTTTCAATTTAAAATTCCCGGGGTTTATGGAATTTAAATTTTTTTTTCTTTTCTTTTTTAGGTTGATGTCACTGTCCTTGACATCTGTGTGAAATTTGACATCAAAATATTCATTAGTGTTTCAGTTACGCTTGGCTTTGTGAGACGCTAAAATTGATTCCGGCGATTTTTGAATTGTCTGAATTAATTGAGCAAAGAACTTGCATTACATTTTGTTTGCAGAAAGGTATAGAATGTAGCAGAAGGCATTCGGTGAACATTCCTATATCGGAAAAAATGTTTAGAAGGGGTATAAACAGTTCAAAGAAGGCAGAGAACGCATTGAAGACGAAGAGTCCTCTGGTCGACCATCAACCTCAACCGTCGAAGCTCACATCCAAAAAATTAGAGATTGTAAGTTGTAATTTCAAAAGGATCGGTCAAAAGGAAAGGTCGGTACTTTATGAATTTTGGCCTCAAACGCATCAAATCTCGATTGGTACCGAAAACACTGAATGCACCAGCTCACATTGCATTCATTCTTCGTGATTCTTTCGCCAAAAATGAAACCCATATCGTTCGTGAATACGATGGTATTCACAGCGTGCGACTTCTGTCTATTCCCTAAACTCAAAAGACCACTCTTGGGACACCGTTTTGAGTCGGCTGAAGAGATTCAACGTGAATCGCCGCGAGCTTTGAAGGCCATCCCTGCCGATGACTTTTTAGCATGCATTGTGGATTGGGAAAAAAAAGTTGGCATAAGGTGAGTGACTTTGAAGGTGATGAAATATATTTGGAAGAATAAATAAAGAGTTTTTGAAAAAAAAAAAAAAATTGGTCTTACTTGTTGGGCGCAGTAGTATTTCTTGTTTTCATGATAATTTTATTGTTTAAGAATCGTTAAAGTAAAAACACCTTACTTTATGAACTTCCTTTACATTCTATAACGAATAGTATGAGAAATCTTATTAACTTTGGCTTTCAAAATATAGAAGTTTGAGCAAATTTAATTAACTCTGCTGGCTGGAAATGAAAAGACCTTCGCCCAGTTCGTGTTACAGGAAGGTCTTCCTCAGGTCGGGGTGTGGAAAATCACAGATATGCCTTTTCGCAGGTTAGGCCAGTTCACGGAGGGGGTTTATGAATGGCAAAAGAAAGGCTCCATTATCAATATTTTAATTGGATGCACGAGGGGTTGATGCTAATCAGATGCGGCGCTTGGTCCGTTGCTAGGCAACGCATCACTCGTTAGGGCCTGCCACTGATAATGTCATCATCAGTGTAAGATATCGCTGGAGCGGGGCAACCGACCATCGGGGGAAGCACTTCAAAATTTCAAGTTTCTGGCTTTCGATCCATAAGTTCTGGATCAAAGAAGGTTGTAAACTGTTGGTGTGTCCTGTTGAATTTCCGTGGTTCCTGCCATCAAGGTACTGAAGGCGCTTTCATTGGGTTAATGGGCTATGGTGAAAGATTTGAAACAGCAATTCGTTGGAACAGGAGTTAACCCTATAAATAGCTGTCTTTGCAGTATATTTATGTTTCAAATATATATTAAATAAAGAAAAATTAAATTATGTTTAAAACATATACATTACATTGAATCATATAATCTCTTCATTAGATTGTAAAAACATCTAATCTCTTCGGTTAATAAAAAGCGAAAAATCAGTATTTATTAAGTTAAAACAATTTTTAATGTGTTTTAAATTTTTCAAAAGTCAATTTTTGAAGTCACTACCCTCTTTGTCAATTATTTTTAATTTGCATAAAACCGAATATCAATTAGTCAGTATTTCTTTAAAGTTAAAATAAATTTCATTTAAAAAATTTAAATTTTTAAGAAACTTTTAAGAATTATAGGGAATTATCATCATATAATTACTTTACAATTGTTTATTTTTGAATTTATATGAAATGAAAGTAAATGACTTTTTGATTCTATAGTATCTAATTTTCAGTTAATCGAAACACAATGCTCGAATAGTATAAGGATAAAAAAAAAAAAAAAAAAATTAATAAGTTTAAGGTTACTTAAAGATTATTACAAAAATTTAATAATGTTACGACATAAACTGAATATTATATATATATATATATATATATATGAAGATTATTAGAGCCTAAAATGCTGATTATGCTGATCCTTAACAAAATAAGTACTTTAAATTATCATTTAATTATATGCATGAGAGTCAGGTTGATATACATATTTCAGTACTTCAAAAAATTGTGAACTAAAAATGTAAATATAATATTTTACTAATGTAATAAATTCGAAATTTTATTTTGCTCCTATATGATGCTTATTACGGAATCAAGAATAGTCAACAGAAATATAGCAGAAACACTTACTTCTAAATTGCAAAATAAAAGCATAGCGAATCATATTGCCACATCAGATGATTCAATTTCAAATTATACCATCATATGTGTGATTCTAGAAATAAGATTTCTAGTTATTAAATATTGCATAATTGATTATTTAAAATAATTTAATAAGCAGTATTTAACTGTAATCTCTTTATAAGAAATTTTAAGCCAATTCAATCGAATCCATTTCGGTTAAATTTTTCTTTTATTTCTGTTAAAGGCCATTACAATTTTACAAATTTCTCATACTATTAGAATATTTCCTAACTTTCTGCAATGTTTTATAATTTTAATTTATTTCAGTAAAAAAAGTGTTTAATAATTATTCA